GAAAAATGATTTAGAAATAAATTTTTTATATAACCTTACAAATTAATTAAATAATTATTTTTTATTCATCTAAAATTTATAATATTAAATATACTATTCATTTAATAATATATAAAAATTATATTAAAAAATCATACTAAAATATTCATAAATTATACACAACAAGAATACTGAACACCTATAAATTCACTGCAGCGAAGTCTTTGGCTATGACGGCTGCTACTCCTTTATCACTTCTTTTATGACAAGATATCTCCCATGACCCATATTATGGTAAGGAAATCTCTGCCGTATTGTCCCAGCTGCCTAATATGGTTCACTACATGCTGGTAGGAATGTGCTGCATAAATAAATATCTCAATCCACATTGCCTTTATCAGCTCCAATCTATTTATGTTTTGTGTAATATCCCCAAATTTTCTAAGATATTTAAGGGTGAGTTATAAACTTAATTGTGAGAGAATAATATTATTGGCCTTAATGACAGAAACTTTCAAAGTTCAGGGACTTAGAAGAAAGGAAATAGGATAAGGATTGACTTTTTTCTCTCTTTTTCTTTTTCTTTCTTTCTTCTTCCCACGCGTGTCCTGCTCTTCTTCTTCCTCCCGACCCCCTGCAACCCGACAAGCTCCCCAGCTACCGCCACCCATCTCCGGCCGGGAACACCGGTAAAGCTTGGAGATTTCTCCTCCTTTTCTTGTTCTAAAACACCTATTAAACCCAGAATTTTCCAGATCTGCTCTCTTCCCTCTGCCGCGAGCTCCCTGTTGCTGGGTGGGTGAAATTTTCGATTATTTTGGGTAAGCAACAACCATGGAATTCATCTTTTCTCTCTTAATTTGGCTTGGGTTCACTCTAATTGCTCTTATTTCTTTCCAATTTGGTGTCAGTTCTTCTCCAATTCCCGCCAGGCTCGGTTTGGCTTGCCAGAATTCTCTAGTATGAAACAGCTTTTAAAGCTGATTTTAAGCCATTTAATTGTTGCTATGCTGAGTTTTAATGGTTGAATTGCTGCCCTATTGTTGTCTGAATTTTCTGCTAGGAATAGGAGGGGATTCGGCAGTAAATGGGACCATGATTTTGCTTAATTCATGTAGGGGTTAGTTTAAGTAGGCTGTTGTGATGTTCTGGAGAGAAAATCCCGTGTGTGTGAGTTGTGGTTTGCCAAAGCCATGCTCTCCACGTGCTGCCCGTGAGAAATGGGAAAATTTTATGTGTATTATGCAAATATATAAATGCACAATTGATTTTGTGCTCAATTTCAGATAGAAAAATGAATAAATAAATAAATATGGTATTATGGGGGTTAATTGCCAGCTAAATTGGAAAAGGATTAAATATGTCGTTTTATATGAGTATTAATTTTGAAATATTTTGATTAGGTACTTGATTATTTTGCACTCTAGCACTTGGAATTAGTGTTCTATTTGGTGTGATTTAAGGTAAGGAAATTATGGTAACGCCCTTCAATTTTAAAGCATGTTTTAAATTATTTTTGAGATAGTGACAAGGTTTAAATTGATTTTATTAGCACTGAACATGATTGGTTTGAAATGAAATTGTTTTCATTTGCATTAAGTAGAGCATGCCTACTTGGAATTGATTGAATTGCCCTAATGAAGTGAGAATTTTGTAAATTTTAATTTTTTTGTTAAATCCATGCTCACATGAAAATTTTTTTGTTTATTTTTAAAACTTGAAATTGATTATGAATTGCAGATTGTTTTGTAAATCCTGCATGATTTTGTCTCTGATATAGTCATAATTATTAACGTCCGTCAGTGGGAGTTTGCAAATGTTGGCACATGTCGACATGTTTGCTGATATGACCGATTCGTTCTGTAATCTTGTCAATGAGATAATACATTGGTAATTACTGACACCTGCCAATGGGCGAATACATTGGTAATTACTGACGCTTGTCAGTGGGAGTTTGTTAAACATTGGTAATTACTGACGCCTGCCAGTGGGAGTTTGTTAAACACTGGTTATTACCGACGCCTACTAGTGGGAGTTGTTAAACACTGGTTATTATTGACGCATGCTAGTGGGAGTTTGTTAAACACTGGTCATAACTTATAGATGAGACTAATACTGAATTTTATTCTGCATTAATGGTTTATCATTGAATGCTTTGTTATTGATTTATAGATGAGACTACTACTGAATTTTATTCTGCATTAATGGTTTATCATTGAACGCTTTGTTATTGATTTACAGATGAGACTATTACTGAATTTTCTTCTACATTAACGGTTTATTATTGAACGTTTTATTATGTTAAATTGTTTATCAGGTATGCTAAAATTTTATTTACGGGCTATCTATATTTTTACTTACTAAGATATTTTATCTCACCTAGTTTTTCCTTGTCCACCATTTCAAGTAGTGATACCCGACATATGGGGAGCTAGGGGAGTGACGAGCTAGACAGCTAAGCATTATCTTGGACTTAGATCTTTTGGAGTTAGGCCGCTAGTCTCACATGGTTGACCTAAATAACCATTTTTGTGTACAGAGTTTCCTTGGTTATAGGCATAATTATCTTATAAACTATTGTACATCTTGACTAGTAAATTTTTGGTAATGGAAAGTTAGATTTTACTTGAGTTTTTAGATTTAAATTATCCAATTTGGAAATTAAGAACTCAATAAGTTCCGAGCCTTGTGCATTTATGGGACTCGTTGAGGAGTGCATGGCATCTGCCACGTCCCCAGATTTGGGTTCTGGGACGTGACATTTTGGTTCAATTTTGTGGCCAAGTATCCTGCATATTTTGGCAGATTCTCGGCGAATTTGTGGGGACTTGGGTGGAAAAAGGAAAAGGTATATGTATAATTAAATATTGGTTAATTTAATTAATATTCTACTATTAGAAAATAGAGTATAACGATAAATTTATAATTGACAGTCAAATATCTATCGACTATACAAGTATAATCGACAGAAAAAGTTGTCGATTATATACTTTGTTAGTCTCTATAATTGACAAAAATTATAATTAACAACTTTTGTATAATCAACAAAAAATTGACCATTGATTATGTATTCAATAGAATTGACAAATTTTCTGTTCATTATATGGAAAAATAACTCATTTGCTATTTGGGATTATGCGTAGTTGGTTGTAAAATATCAAATTTCTAGCAATGCAAGCCTTGAAAAATTAATTCTTTGTAACTTTAAAACCAAAAATTTTATAGAACAATCAATAATAATAAAAAAAAAAAAACCAAAAAAAAGGGGGAAAACTAGATAAACCAAACCTTTTGATAAGATAATTACAACCTTAAGAGCACTTGCTTGGAATCAATCGGAATATGCAAATGAGAAAACCTACTAAATATCAATTTCAAGAAATAAAACATTAGTTTAAATAAAAAAA